ATACGCGATACAATCCGCTTTCATTCGAGGCCAGGTGTAGGAGCGTAACAAGGTCCCATAGGTCTTCTTCCACCCAAAATGGCCTTCTGTATCATGGCATTCCCCCAAGATCATACTCTTGATCTCCTCATTATTCGGTATACACAGCCTATCATGCACGTCAGTTCGTTCAAACAATAGACCCTGAGTTACTTTATGATCGGGAAACTCTGCTGGCTTTTCTTGCACTAGCTTAATCATGGTTCCATAAACAGGATCAGAGGGATACTCATTTCTAATCTTTTCTTGTAGGTCTGCACCTACATCTAGATAAGTCACAATAGCACCGAAAAAGTCTGATCTACGACTTAGTGCATCAGCAATAACGTTATATTTACCCTTTACTGGCTTCAACTCAAAATCAAACATATCAATTTCCGCAGCCCACCTTGTCAACTTAGGTGTCATTCGAGCTTGCGTTTTGAGCCAGCGAAGTGTTTCATGGTCAGAGTACACTTTAAAATGCCGTCCCAGAAGGTAGTATCGCCAATGATTGAGAGCCTCACGTAGTGCATACAACTCTCTTTCATACGTCGAAGCGGCCACCTTCTCATTACGCAGTCGGCAAGACATAAACTCCACGGGCCTGTATCCATGCCCATCGTCTTGCTGAAGGACAACACCTATACCATATTGACTAGCGTCGGTTGTGACTACGAAAGGTAAAGAAGGGTCTGCCACTTTAAGAACCGGATAGTTAATCAAACACTTTTTCATACGCTTGAAAGACGTCGTGCAGTCTGAATCCCACTTCCAGATTACTTCTTTCTTAAGCAATCGGCGAAGGGGAGCAGCTATTATCGTGAAGTGTCTTACGAACTTTCGATAGTAGTTGGCTAACCCAAGAAACGACCGCAACTCAGTCAGGGTGCGGGGGTTTGGCCAATCTCTGATTGCTGTTATTTTGGCATCTTCCGGTTTGACCCCATCTCCATCAATCACATATCCCAAGTATAAAACCTGACGCTTAGCCCATTCACACTTCTTTGGGTTTAACTTGAGTTTTGCTTCTCTCAATTTATTTGGCACAAGTCGAAGGTGCTCAGCGAGCTCCTTTTCATTTTTGCTAAAAATTAAAATATCGTCTAAATAAATCACAACAAATTTGTCGAGCCATTCACGAAAGAGTTCGTTCATCGTTCTTTGGAAAGTAGTAGGGGCATTCGTTCGACCAAAGGGCAAAACTACGAATTCATAATGTCCATACCTTGTCCTAAAGGCAGTCTTGTGTTGGTCTTCCGGCTCAACCTCAATCTGATGATGGCCGGATTTCGGATCAATCTTTGAAAATATTTTGCTTCCCTGCACGCGATCTAGCAAATCGTCTATTCGCGGTAATGGTTCGGCATTTTTCACTGTTATATCATTTAACCTCCTATAATCTATACACATACGAACGCCGCCGTCCTTTTTAGGCACAAAGAGCACAGGCGCACCATAG